TTTTTCTTATGAAGCTAAAAGAGCAGAAGGTGACACCAAACAGAGAAATTAACATTAGCAAAAGCCATCTTTTTTTCACTTCCTAACAGTTATTCATCATTAAGAGATTGTCTCTAGGGGTCTTCGGGGGAGCTCCATGGTTCTGTCTGGGTTTATTTCAGTCCCCTAATCACCCTTCAGTATCTTCAGTAATATTGGAGATTAACCAGTAAATTACTGAAACCGAAAAAACTAAAAAGGAATAACCCTTTGTTCTCTCTCACTAAAGCACCTGAGTAGAAATACTACCCACCCTGGGACTTCAGATGTATGCCATTCTAATTTACTTGTCAGCATAACCAATAAGCTTTTTTATTGCTGCATGTATCTTCCACATAGGTACCATAAATGCTGCTCTAAGCACTCACGCACATTTTTTCCCAGTTGACAAACCCTTGGTATCACATGTCTGCTGTTCTTTCAGAATTGTGAGCTGATTAATTGCAGGGTTATCTTCCGCTCTGAACAAAAGGCAAAATACTTACTCCCTTGAGAGTACACCATTGGCCAGGCCTCCTTCATATCGACTTATCCCTTTGCGCTGAAGCACGCTGATCTGACCACCCAATTCATCTGCAATTATTCCTGCATGGATGGCGGCTTTGCACAATAAAGAGGTCTGAAACATAGCAACATCGTCACTCACAGCTTACTCAAGAGTACATTGAAAATATAGTGGGAGCTTTGCATTTTGTATTAACTTGTGGTCAGGATCCCTATTTGACCCTTGTGATTGCTAAACTATAATTCATTTAAGTAAAAAGTAGAAGGGCAAGGAAAACAAACTATTGTATAACTATCTCAAAATGACATCAGAATCACTATATTTATGCTGACTAAGGTGGGAATCTATCCATTAGGTAGGTAAGTAGGTAACTTACAGGAGTAGTAGCCCTCCAATGAACAATGCCTTCCAGTGGCCCTGTCCTTGGTGTGTCACCTCCCCATTGACTCTGAACTGAGCTTGTTTTGTGCTTCTGCAGATAATGTGATCCAGCCAACTCCCACACATGGCAGTGAGGCTGCTTTAGACCCTCCGGCCCGAGGTGACCCTCTGGCCCCAGGTGACCCTCCACATGACTGCAGCTGCGGGAACGGTTTAGGTAAGGGGAGCGGGAGAACCAACCAGGCCCAACTGCTGACCCACAAACTCATCAGCAAATAAAAGGGTTGTTATTTTAAGCCACTAAGTTTTGGGGTGGCTTGTTCAGCAGAAATAGTTAACTAATCAGTTTCTTACATGTGGTTTACCAGATATACATACTGAGGGTCATTTGAGAGGGTGAACTTTCAGTTTCATTTTACATTTAATTTAGAGGTTTAAAAGAGTCATCAAACACAAAATAGTAATGTCAGAACACTAAATGGAACAGAAATCTTCATGAAGGTCTTAGAGCAATAATGAGCAACCCAGGGCCCACAGCCTCCATCTCATTTCCGGAATCTCCTCTGAGAGGGTCAAACAGCTGGCAGCTCAGCCCTCCAAGGCTGCTGCCTGCTGCTCCAACCCACACAGGACCACCTGACTGGCCCTGTGATTGAAAATGCCCCACCAGAAAGTGGGGGTGGAGAAAGGACTGGAGCTTTTCCATGGTGCCCAGGTCCTAGGTCCCCATGAGCATAGACCTGTGTGGGAGGGGGGTTAGGCTGTCAGCCCAGGACTGAGATGCTGAGAAGCATCATATTCTAAATAAACTTTAGCAAGGTTCCGCTTCTCCACAATGGCTAATGCCGAAAAGAGAAAAGCAGCTCAGGAAATTGTGTCCCAGTAACTGGACTTGAGAGTTTCTCTTTGTGTTAATGAAATGCTATTTACCTTATTTCGGTAGAAAAATTCCCTTAGATTTAGATTATAATATTAGGACCAATGGAGACCAACCATCTTTTATAATTAACATGGTTGCAATAAAATTGAGAAGTTTTGTGATCTTCAATTTAGAGAACTCACATTTCCCAAACTTGATGAGATATGGCTAAATGAGTCACTTTTGCAATAACTGCTGTCATAACCAAAAAATGGGAACAATTTCAAGACAGAGTATATAACAATGCTAAAGCACAGATGCAGATACTATCCTTCTTGATTTTGAAAAAGAATAAAAAGAAGAATTAGAAGAAGAGAAAAAAGATAGTGCTCTTTAAACTAAATGGGCAGCTTGCCTTTTAATTTTTCCTAAAATTTCTGTTCTTAAAAATATTTCTTATCATTATTTTAGACTCTTGGGGTAAAAAATGGAGGAGCCAGTTGTAGTGGAAAGTTCCTGAATTTAAATTCATCATCCTGGCTCTGCCTCCAACTCTACTAGGTGTACTTAAGTCATTTCGTTGCTCTAGGTCTGGCTTCCTAATTTATCTGTATAATGGAAAGGCCTGACTGGAGGGTGTCTACTATCTTTTCTAATGGTCTGTCACCATGTGATTCTACAGGGCACCCTATGTACCTATCATAGGGTTCAAGTAGGCCAGCTTATCTCTATAAGCCCCAGAATATAAAGCAAATTGGTCCAGTGGTCTGCTGGGCAGCTAATTCCAACTGTCCCTGGGGTCATCTATCTTCCTTGGAATTTGGGGATGCCATGGTCTTCATTCCAGGAGCCCTGCCCTAAAGAGAGAGCTCTCACTGGACTTGGCATGTCCCAGGGCCTCCTTGGTTACAAGAGGGCAGATTCAATGAGCAACAGGACCTACTAGCATCATTGGCCAACAAATATTTTCATTTCCCACAGTACCCAATATTGAGGAAACCCAATGGTATATATACACTTTTAACAAAATGTATTTAATTGCAGCTCATGTTTTCCCATAACACTAAACGTAGGCCATAAGATACACCTCCAAGAGAATAAGCACTAGATCTGGCTATCATATTATTATGTTATCAGCACTTTCCAGGGTTATTTTCTTAAAAAAAAAAATCACTTTCTCACCTAACCAACTTAAATAAAATTGATGTTTGCTTAAATTGGGGCTTTTGGGTATCAATTTTAAAAATCACACTCATTAAACATGATTTTTAAAAGTTCCCCTTTGAACAGTGGTGTAATTTATTCTTTGATTTTCTAGCTATTTTTGAGGTCTAAGTCTCACTGAAATGTAAATATAAGAAAGCCACTTGCTTATGTTAATTAGCAAATTGCCTTAAACTCAAATGAAATAATTTAACTGTAATTTAAATACTTTAAGTGTAATTTTCAGGAAAGGAAGGGTATGCGAGGAACATCAGAGAAGAACGCCTGCATGGCTCACAAAATTGCAGGTCGATGGCATTAAACATTTCTGAAGTTCACTAAGCCATAAAAGATAGCCAAATAGATCAGTATGAGGTAAGACTGAAACAACTTCAAAGAAATTATCAAGTCATCTCAGAACTGGAATACTTTCTTAAATCCTCCTTTAGGGAAAATCAACTTGTACTAAAAAGTATTGACAAAGTATTAAAATAAAATTAAATGTAAAACTAAATGTTTTTTATTGCATTTAATAAAACATGAATAAAGTACATGTTTAATGTGGTAGAATGATGGTAAAATGTTAAATTAGAAAAATATATTCCACATTCTATTATACAAATTATTCCTATGTTGCTACAGTCTTCATAATTACCATATTGATAACATTTTCTTTACAAAAGTAATTGCATTCATCATAGAAATGTTAGAAAATAGGAAAAAAAAATCACTCATTGCCATTACTCATCATTAACACATATTTCCCTCTGGCTTTTTGTGGGTGTATAAAGGTAGGCCTAGCTTCTCCCCTTTTCCTCCTGAACTGGGAGTATACTGTATGTACTGTCTTTCTTTACTTTACTATACTTCTTGAATATTTTTAAGCCATGGAGAATTTACTGAAATGACTTAAGTGATATCTTCCATTTCAAAGCAGATGGTACAGTCAGCAGGACTGGGAGAAAAACTGTTCTCGGGCATTTTACTTCTCGTTTCCAGGTGAGGCAGATCTTAAAGAGAAACCCATACCACTTAACTGTGATGGCAAACACAACAAATACAGATGCCTCAACTCATCCATCAAGGAGATAGAATCATAGAATCTTAAGAATTCAGAAAGACCTTTAAAGGTCTCTGAAGACAGTTCCTGACAGACTGTCATACACATATACAGGCCAACTCTGACAAATGAGCATAATATCTACACTCAGCATGTCCAGTGACTAGGGGCTCACTGTTTTTGGAGATCCCCTATCCCATTTTGCACTGTTAAATGTTTCCTTATATGCAACTGAAATGGGCTTCACTATAACGTTCATCCACTGATCCTAGTTCTACCTTTTGAAACAACACAGAATGAACAAATTCCTTTTTTATAATTGGTTTCTAAGACAACATATTTCTTCCCTGAGACAGAGCACCTGTTTCGTCAATAGCTTCTCTGGTAACTTGTTTGACAAACTCTGTCATCCTGACCTACAGGATATGATGTGGTTTTGCAAAGGTGCTTCCAGAAAAGACTTGCTACAACTGAAAAGCATTTCCTAAGATGAAGGCACCATGGAAGGCAGACTCTAAGATAACCCCCATGATCTCTGGTGCCTGGTATTCCCCCATTGTGCAATGTCTTTGGGTATGGATGAGGGCTGTGGCTTTCTTCTAATAGAATATGGCAAAGGTGATGGGATACCACTCTCATAATAACATTACATAAGATTGTAACCTGTCTTGCTAGGGTACTCCTTTTTTAGGAAACTCTCTCTAGCTGGCTTTGAGGAGCAAGCAGTGACATTGGGAAGGCACACATGGCAAGGAGATGAGGACAGACTCCAGCCAAAACCCAGGAAGAAAACTGAGGTCCTCCATCTGACAATCCATAGGTAAATAAGTGCTGCCAACACCATGTGAGCTTAGAAGCAAATCCTTCCCCAGTCAAGCCTCAGATGAGACTGCATCCCTGGCTGACACCTTGGATGCATCCTTGCAAGACCTTGAAGAAGACAACTCAGCTAAGCCATACCCAAACTCCTGATCCACAGAATATGAGAGATAACACATGTATTGCTTGTAAATTTGTGGTGATATTGTTATGTAGCATTAGATATCTACTATACCCACAAAATCAACACCTCCAAAATAGGCACTCTTCTTTAAAGAGATAAGTTTTCAAAATGCAAATTTTCCCACCAGATAGAATCAGTATAAAAGCAAATGGTGTAAAACCAGTTAGTGAGTCAAATAGGAAACCTGTTTGTAGTATTTTCAGATTGTGTCTACTGCACAGGAAACCATTTACTATTACACTGAAAAAAAAAAAAAAGCTCTGTCAAAAGGAGGCAAGGTAAACAACTAAAGTTAAAAAAAAACGATGCTATTTCTCTTATTGAACATAATTCTGAAGTTTCTTGCATAGTACAGGAAATAATAAATAAAAGCTTCCTCTTGCTAGGGGGAAAAACTACACTTCAATTTTTTATTTCTCTTAGTTAATTTCCTGAAGTCATTTAGGAATAGGCTGTGCCAAGTATATCTTCAAACTGAGGTAGCATAAATCATTTTAAGATTCAAACAATTTATAGGCCAAATGAATATCCTGTGTCAACCTTATAAATAAAAACAATACATGAAAAAGGCAATAAAAAACAAAATAACAAAATCTGCTGCTTCTAGAATCAGAATGTGCTAGAAGCAAAAATTAAAGCCAACTTTTTTTCCCCCTGCTGGAGATGAATTATCAATCTTCTAGAATATGTATGTTTTTCTCATGCATGAAGACACATCAATAACTCTTAGAAAAGTCCCATCACTCTACAGATTTTGATATTTCTAATAACTCATGCCAATTCCCATAAACTGCAAACCTAACTATTTTAAATGACAATGTAAGTTTTTTAAAATCAGATATCAGATTTCCAAGATAGAAACCTGTAAACAGTAAGAAATGAAGAATTGTAAATCTAGAAACAGGCCATATATTTTAGAAAAATGACTTCTTTTGAATTTATTTTTCTCTGGGAAAAGTGTGTATAACCCAGGAAGTGTCATTATGCATAAGAAATTGGGGTGCTAGGAAGGAGGGGAATAATTTATAAGAGCAGGGCAGATGGCTTCACTGGTTCCAGACACAATGTCACTATTTTGTGAAATGAACATTCATGTCCTTAGCTAATATTACATAAACCAAACGGAACATTAAAATAAAGAAATATAATAAGTTATAACAAAAAAAATGGCCTCTTAAAAATGGATGGAATTATACTTAGGTGTTGGAGGGTTTTGTTTTTTTTTTCATTTACAGTATGCTTAATGGGAAATGCTAAAAATAGGTATGAATACGAGTATATGAATAACGGTTTTTATATTTATTATTTTATTTCATTTATACTCAGGAAAGAGAATTTTGCATCTATCTACTGAGTTTAATCTCTCATTTGACTTTACTTTGTAATGAATTTAGGCAGAGCAACAATCACTTACTCTTTTTAATTTCCTCCCTGCCATAAAATGACCCTCAATCACTTACATCTCTATATCCATCCACCACATTCCCAGAAACGTCTCCTGCTATGTCTTTACAACCAGCTGGGCAGAATTTGCTGGAAAAAGAAAATAAAGAATTTACATTTTATTAAATTATACTTAAATTTAAAAGTATTAAGTTATAATTAAAAGTATTCTCTCCTCCTTAGAACACACAGGAGAGAATACGTTGCTTTAATAACAAATCAGAAACCTGATTTATGAAAACATTTTAATCTAAAATGTTAATCTGAAAGGAAGTTTTACACAATAATTGCTTTATGTGAGGATTTGTTTTAAACTATTAAACAACGATCTTCCCTAATGCATCTTAATTGATTCTAAGATGTCCAAGAAATATTTTTAAGAAAAAAGGAAAGTTTCTAAATACTATATATAGCATGATCTCGTTTTTATAAAAAGATATATTTAAAATACATACAATAACAATGTATGTTTTTTATGGATAAAAAGAAGATAAGAAATTATGTCTCTGGATGCTAGTAGGATTTTGAGGAACTTTCATTTCTGGTGTTATTTAGCTCTGCAATATCTACTCTACTAGCACTATCCTACAGGAACATACGGAAGGAAGCCACACATGTAAATTTAAATATTCCAGTAGCCTCATTAAAAAAGTAAAAAGAAACAGAAAAAAAATTATATTTAACCCAATATATTCAAATTTTATAATTTTCACATGTAATGAATGGAAAAATTTCAATGAAATATTTTCAGTCCTTTTTCTTTTGTACTGTTTTCAGTATCTGTAGTATATTTTCTACTTACAGCACATCTCAATTTGAACTAGCCACAATTTAGGTGCTTGATAGCCACACATGGCTAGTATTGGATAGTGATGATCTACATTAGTTATGAGTTGCTTTTGCAATCAGAAAAAAAAGGTGTACATATTTTTTCAGCTTTATTGAGGTATAATTGACAAATAAGATTGTAAGATATTTAAAGTATACATCATGATGACTTGATATATGTTACCCATCTACTTAACTAACACAGCCATCACCTCACATATTTTAATGTATATATATTTTAAATATATATATGGGAGAACATTTAAGTTCCACTCTCTTGGAAAATTTCAATTATATGATCCAGTGTTATCTGCTATAGTAACTCTGTTATACATTAGATCCTCAGACCTTGTTCATCTTATAGCTAAAAGTTTGTACACTTTTTTGTACAAACCTATTCCTATCTCCCCTACACCCTAGCCCTTAACAACAACTTATATACTTTCCATTTATATACATTTGATTAAAAAATATGTATTTTTAAAATTAGGATTTCATTTACTTAACAGTCATTTTTCAAGAAACTTTCCAGAAATATTTCATAGCATATGATATGGTTGGAGGGGCCTACAGCGCGGTGATCCATGTACTGGTAATACCTAGCTAGCTGTGTGATGCTCAATAGTGCATATAATCCCCCTTAAATTCAGTTTCCTCTTCGGTAGTTCCTTGAAGCATCAACATATCAATAGGCTATGAGGGGCAGTTATATGTATATGAAAAACATGGGGAAAAAAAAGACAAAATATTATAAGAACAATGACAACTTTGCAAATGAATGCCATATGTCCTTGTTTCTATATATACCACATTACAATAATGTTTATTTGGTTTGTTTTAAAAGAATGTACCAGCCCAAACAGATTCCAAAATAGAAGTTGCTTTTACTTTATTTCCTCTGTTTCCTCCCACTGACTTAGCAAATTAGATGAGTAACAACATCTAATTTTCAAAACTACCCAAATAAATGTCTCACAATTCTTTCCCATTGACCCATTGGAGTCCAAAAATGCAGCGATAATCAAGGAATCCAGAAATAAAAATAATGGGAAATCCTACTACAGGTTTATAATCTCTTATCCTAAACTTTACAGCCATATTTATTTCAGAATTCAGAATTTTTTGGATTTTAGAAGAGTAAAACAGTTCTGTTGATGTATATAAGACCCCAGTGAGGTCACATATTAATCAAAAACATTAATATCTCTGTATCAAATACATGAATAGTCATATTAAGTCAAATACATAAAGACTAAATAGACTCCTTAATTTAGTCCAATCTTGCTGTCAAACGAATTTAAGGTCACATTAGTCAGCTATTGCCACCAAATGAGTCACAGAAACCTTTTGACTTTTAAAGCTTCCTGCATTTCACAATTATAGATAAAGGATTATAGACCTGTACTAGCCATCATACCTCATCTTTACCTAAATGCTACAAAGCAGCTGGGCTACAGCTTGGATGACCTGAAACCCTGACCTCACTCTGCAGGCCTGAGTATATCCCTTTCTTCAGGAGGATAGGAAATGACCACTGATGCCCAGAGGTCCTTTGACCACCAGAACTGTATAGACATGGCTGGAAAGATCTCAGAGAATGTTGGCGTATATCCATCTACCTTGGATAAACGGCAACTTTACAGGGTGATATTTAATTATTCGTCGTTTTCATTTTTGTTTTTTCTCTACTAGACTTGTATTAGTTAACACTAGAGTTGATTCTGCATATAAAATAATCTCGTTTATTAGAATGCCTGATAGGACCATGGACTCTTGACCTTGCTCTGGGTATGCGTACTCAGTGTGTAGTCCTGGGCAAGTTACTTAATTGCTTTGTGCCTCTGTTTTCAGGGCATAACAGAACCTGCCTTGTAGGTATGTTGAAATAATCATATGAGTTACTTATATGCTAAGTCCAGAGAGCTCTACTTGGCTAAGAAAGCACTCTAAGGAGTTAGAGTTTTTGTTGTATTATTGTTGGCAATGATTTTCAGACCAGTGGTTCTCAACTGGGGGTGAATTTTGCCCACAGGGAGACATCTGGCAACGTCTGGAGACATTTTTGGTAATTACAAATGGCAAGGAGAGGGTAGAGGCCAGAGGTACTGCTAAACACCCAACAACACACAGAACAGCTCTACCCAGCAAAGAATCACCCAACCCAAAACATCAAGAGTGCTAAGGTTGAGAAATCGTGCTCTACACACTTTTACTTGATAGATGAGGAAAGGTATATCAAAGAAGTTAATTTATTCCAGTTAAAATAAAGCTTAGATGAAAAATTTTATCTCCTACTCTCAGGGTTTTCTTCTGTGGGAAAGAAAAAATGAACCCCCTCCAAAAGTGAAAAAATTACAAAAGTCACTCTCAGTTGTAGGCCAGGTAAAAATGCACCCTAGACTCCATTATGGCTCATTGGTACTAGTAGGACTCAAGAGTCCGCAAACTGGCTCATTAGCCAAATCCAGCCTGCTGTTTGTTTTTTGTAAATAAAGTTGTATCAGAACACAGCCATGATCATTTATTGACCTATGGTCTATGGCTGCTTTTCATTACAGCAGCAACAAAAACTGTATGAACAGATGCTAAAGAGACTGCATGGCCTAAAAAATCTAAAATATTTATTATCTGGCTATGACAGACAAAGTTTGCTGACATTTGCTGTATAAGAAAGCATTTCAAGTATTCCTCATGAGTTACAACATAGATGATATTTTAAAAAATTAAAAATTAAAAATAAGGTCTCTGGTTTAACATCAAAGAAAACAAAACGTTCAACAGCATATGACTGCAGCACAGGTAGGGCACCTATATTTACCTGTATTCTGTCATCAAATAATGGTTAGCTCGTTCCAAGCACGTTATTAAATCTGTCATAAATAAAGATAATTGCAATTAGCAGACTGAATGGAAATTAGGACACTCGTGCTCAAAAGACTTCTTTTTAAATAAAAAAGACATTTTGAAAAGCATTTATCCATTATCTAGTTATCTGAATTCCTGTTTAAAAATAAGTCAGAACTGAGAACACTGCCTCAGGATTTAATCAGTTCCCTTCATTTCTCTTTCTTTTTCCACCAATGATGGTTTTTCAGTGATTATTTTATGAACGAGTGAAGAATCTATTTCTGACAGAAAAACCAACACTGGTGAGTTACTATCCACTACAGGTCTACAAAGATCATGTGTATAACCAGCCTTGGCAGGAGGAAAACAACTTCAAAAGTCCAGTGTGGTTCATAGAGAAGGATCAGAGACATTTTCATTTAACAATTTAGGGGCATCCAAGTGACCACAGAACCAGGTGTTTACTGAAACACAAACAGCCTGTCAACTTTGATCAATCAAGACCAAGGACAAAAAGAGAGTGCTTTTGGAGCACAGAACAGAACTAACATTCAGCAATAGAGATGCTAAGATACCCTGGATTTGGATGCATTTACATCAACCTGGTATAGTTTCCAAAATAGTCCACACTTGCTGCAATACTTCTTTCTTTCCTTAATCTTTTTCAATAGTACTTAGGGAGCAACATATGGTGAACACTGGCCATGCTGGGGCCAGCTGGGATTGGTGAGATCTGATTGGCTGAGAAGAAAATGAATAGTGCAACCCCTTTCCACAGTACTTCTGCCAGAGGGGATTGAAAGCAGAAATTCTGGGCACCTCTGTGATACCGGGCAGACACAGAGTGGGCTGCACAGTGATTACTCTGGAATACAAGAGGCCTGGACAGAGGCCATGCTTTCCTCTCATTAGTGTTCATGCTTCCCGTCTCTGCTGTCAGCTCCATGGTCAGGGGACTCTCTGACAGTGACTGCATCCTGCACATACACACATGCCTCCCACGCTGGTGCACTGGTGTGTGTGTGTGTGTGTGCATATGTGTGGGGTTGGGGTGGGCTACCACTGGTTAAAAGGCTTGTCCCCTGAGCTAAGACAGGAGTGGGGGGAGGGATCCTGGGAAAAGCCAGACCTTAGAAGAGTCAGGACAGTAGCTCCGAAGATGATCCACCCAAGGTTTCTAGGAAAATGAGATCAACCCTCGCCCACATAAGTCAACTGATCCATCTAACATGTTCTATAAAGGCATTCAGTTTAGACTTAACTGCCTACCAGACACTGCATTCCTCTCTTCCCTCACATCTTAATTCAGTATTTGACGTCACAATTCTGTCCAGAGATAGTGATAGTGATAAGTAGCAAGAGTAATTCTTAAGCAGATAAAGGTTTACAGATTTGTGTTGGTTCTTCTGCCATACCTGGATGGTCGCTGCTGGCATAGGTCAGCAAAAAACCCCGTCCAGAAATGTGGGATCCACTTTCAAAGCGAACCGTTACTTCACTTGTGTTCAGCAAGAGTTCTTTGGGAACATTCATAGTTCCACAATACGGTCCTAAAAACAAAGCACATTTTTGGCAGATTTCAAAATTTAGACCAGCACGAAGAATTGGTATATGAATTTTTTTCCCTCTTAAAGGTCAAATTTACCAGAGACACATATGTAAGATTATAATCTTAACCCAACTGAAATTTTGGTTAATACTGAGACTGATAGTGAACCTGATTATATTGACAAGCCAAATGGGTGAAAGTGGCTAACTCTGGATAAGTAAGAAGCTGGAACTAGTTAATTGTGAACAACCTAAGGTTTCGGTTTTTGTAAAAAGAACAGTAACAAAGGTCAAATACATTAAGTATTAAAAAAAAGGTTATCACAAAAGTGATAACCTGGGGGCCTCCTAAATTTGCTTAAAGTATTGTCTAAATGTTTGTGTCCCCTCAAAATTCATATGTTGAAATCCTAATGCCCTGATGTGACAGTATTAGGAGGCAGAGCCTTTGGGAGGTGCTTAGGTCATGAGGGTGGAGCCCTCATGAATGGGATTAATGTCCCTATAAAAGAGGCCCCAACAGCTTGCTTGCTCCTCCATTCAGGTGAAGACACAGAGAGAAGGCTATGAACCTGGAAGTGGGCCCTCACCAGCCACTATATGTTCTTGAACTTCCCACTCTCCAGACAGTGTGGAATAAGTGTCTGTTGTTTTTAAGTTATCCAGTCCGTGGTATTGTTTTAGCAGCCTAAACAGACTAAGACGGGTAGTAAAGAACATGTTATCACAAAAACGATACTCTTAAATTTGCTCAAAGAAACTTACAAATTCCCTTTTTTCAGAAAGGTTCCAAAATGAAAAGACTGTCTAATGCATGGTAAAAATCTTATTCTCATGCAGTTTATTAATTTATCTCTCTCTCTTACAGTAGCTTCTGGTTAACCCATATAATTTATTTTGATTTGTAAAATCAAGTTTATAAAAAAGCAGAATAATTTCTAAAGGCTTTTGAAGTATCATAGTATAAATTATGCAGTTAAGAGTGTAACATATTGTTCCTAGAATAAGTTGCTTATAAAACAATAGGAAGCTCAATAAACTTTCAAAGGACAAAATTAGATTTAGAGCTAAGAAGAAAACCTTCCTAACACTATTCAAGTTAAAGTTTAGTTTGTAAATTGTCATCTTGAAAGTCATGTATGGAAGATACAATAATTTCTCTGAAAATAGAGATTAGTAAGCAGATCTTGAAGGGAGTTATTCTCCATCAACTTCTCTCAAAATAAAATAGTATGGAAAGAGTCAACAGCAACAACAATGACAACATCAGTTTAAGGAAGGAAGGAAGAGAAGAAAAAGAACACTCTAACTCAACGTGAATAAAATTGTTGACACTAGCCAAAACCAACATAAGGACCAAACTGTTAAAAGATTCAGGAGACCATGAGCCCAACTACTCATTCCCCTCCTGATATCAGGGATCGGATCTCTCTTTTGTCCTGTCCAGGTCTCACATTCTGAGATGTGATAGAGTAAGAGAGAAATGCTGTGTGTTTACCTTCATGCCTCAAATCTCTGTTGTTTCCTATTGTTAAATTATAATGAAATCCAAATAAAAAAAAGATCACTTCCCTCTTCAGAAACACCCATCATATATAATTACAGATCTGAGCTAATACTCGCAAATTACTTAGAAGAGTACCTAGCATGAGAGCTATATAAGTATTTGTGAAAGAAATAAAAGAATACATTAAAACAAACAAACAAATAATGTCTGCTTTCCTTTTAGACTATGTCTCATGGACTTAGAAACTTTTCTACCCATCACTTTGTCATCAGCAGCTTGTACATTACCTGGCATGTGGTGGCTTTCCAAATATTCTTTGAATAGAAATGAAGTTAAATACTCTTCCAATTTTTAAACATCAAAACTGATTATAAATTTATATAAAATATTTCATCCTGTCATTTTAACATATGAAGAAGTCAGGAAGAGAGATGTGGAAAAGCAAAAAAAGAAATCATTTGTGTAATGGATATGTGGATTTTTATGAACTTTAATAGTGCTCACAAGCATAGCAGATAGGTAATTTATATTAAATCCATTTTTTGTATAGTAACATAGAATAAGTATTTTTGCGAAATTAAAGTGAGTCGGATTACTGTGCTTGACTTCTGTTCCTTTTAATGTTTGAAATTTCTTTGTTCTTTGCAGAGATAAGTGAAGATACTTGCTTTGCAAACCTAAGAATAAAAAATGAAATAACTAGTAACTTGTTGCTATTAATAAATCAGAGTATTTTTGTAACCACATTCATCTTTTTCAAGAGGAAATAACATATATATTCTTCTTCAAATGGTGATGCTACTAATCTTTCAAATTTCTGTAGCATTCCACTGAGTTCTAACATAAGCAGTAAGGTAAACAAATCTAAATTGATTATCAGGTAAGAACTTGTTTGGAACGTTTTTTTTTTAGCTGAAATCTATTTGACACACAGCCCTGTAAATTTAAGGTGTACAACATGTTAATTATACATTTATATATTTCAATATGATCACCATTGTAAGAATAATTAGCACCTCTACTATGTTATATAATTGTCATTTCTTTTAGTGGTTGGAATAATTAAGTTCTCTTAGCAAGTTTGATGCTTATAATATAGTATTGTTGTCTATCTGTATTCACTATACTGTGCATTACGTCTCTAGGCTAGGGCTTATTTACTACTCTTTGCAAGTTTGTACCCTTAAGCGACATCTGTCCTATCCTCCCACTCCTCATTCTCTGATGACCACTATTTTATACTCTGTTTCTATTAGCTTGATTTTTAAAGATTCCACATATAAGCGATATCATACATACTTGTCTTTCTTTGTCTGACTGATCTCACGTAGCATAATATGCTCAAGGTTCATCTATGCTGTTGCAAATGGCAGGATGTCCTGTATCATGGCTGAATAATCAGGAGTTTTAAAAAGATTTTTATAGAACAGTTGAAAGAAAAGGTTGCAAAATGGTATATACTTGACACAAATAGATAAGAGTGTATGTCATCACATTAAGTTGTTGTGCAATACATAGGATTTCATAGACAAAAACACACATGAATATAGTAAAATCCTAATTTAGTTCTATCCTCCCAAAGTCATGATAGGCACGCAAATATTTCTGGAAGAAGTTCAAAGAAAGAAAATATAAACACACATACTCCTTTAATCACCCTCACCCCACAGGCACCAAGCATTCTTACTGATATGCTGCAAAAATGTAACTAAACCCTAGAGTGGATAGGATATACCCTCTTTTTATAAATGCCATCATTAAAAAATGTTTTGATAGGTTCATCATAGCATAACCATCACAACTGTAGGAGGCAGTTTTAGTTTAGGGTGGCGACTTCGAGCATTGTCTGCTACATCACCTCTGGCAAAACATCTAAATTATTGGCTGTCTGAAGGTCTGACAGAGAAAGATTCCTTTTCACAGTCTAGAAGAGCTGCATTCCTAGAGATAAAAGGGAAAAGAGATGAAAATAGAAAAATCTGACTGGCAGTGAGTGGGAAAAATAATTAATGGGAAACCACTGGCAGAGCTTACAAGTCTGTCCTAAGCAATGTTCTCAGTTTTCAGTCAGATCCCTCAAGGATGATATATTTTCTTATGAAAGCCTTGCTACACCCACGCCTGCCCAAAGGATGTATTTCATGGTTGTATTCTCCAACTCGACTTTTTAAAGGGGTCTACACCTGTGCTTAAATAGTCACAAAGACAATTTCATTGGAAACCCAAAAGAGAGCTTGGTGACTTCTAACTTTGACCATGGTTGTTTATATTCTCCATCCTGAGCTGTGTTTCTGGATGGTAAACCTGCCTCGATATACAGTTAGACTGAACCCCAACCCTTTGTGAGTAGGTCTTAGGAAATTTAGCAGACATAAAAGTAGGACTCACAGCTTTACTTCACAACTGCCAGTGCTGTGTGTTATGCACAACTTGGACTTGTCATCTAACTCCCACCTCCCACCTCTATCCTTGTCTGCAGGCTCCATCTTACTTTGCAATCCCAAATTCCCATCAGACTGGGGCACAGCAGAAAGGCACTTCATCAAGTAGGCATAAAAATCAGGATAAATTAATGCTTTTCCCCTTTGTGGAATGTAATTGCTAGCCCTAGATTGTGGGAAAGACCTGTCAATAATACCAAATGGGATAGCACTGTGGCATTTAGCACCAGACATGAGACCAAGACCTAGCAGACAGGGACTGATTTCGTGGACAAAAGGAATAAAGGGCCAGGAACCACAGGAGCTGCCTTCTTTGAGCACAGTAGGCCAGTTCCTCTCAACACATCCCCTGTTTGGGGCCCCTGTTCACAAGCAGCCGAGAGGGGAAACCCTTTATCTTTCTATGTGTGAATAAAAGAAAACTGTCCTACAAGGAACAATGAGCTGTCTGCCCAGAGCCAAGCCCGGAACCCTCTTGATTTTCTGGCAATCTGACAATCTGGGCAGCAGTTTCTAGTACTGCTCCGTTCTCCATGGACTGTCTGCCCAAGTCTCTGGACATTACAAGGCAGTAATAGTTTGGTTAATAACAGTTCCAAGTCACTTCAGGTGGGTCTGTGCTTTGGGGATTGAAACTGATGGAACGAAGTTATTGTTTCATCTGTGAAAGAGATTTTGTGTCAAAAATGGAGGCATACTGTTAAAAAAAAAATAGACCCCTCCTTCTCTATAACTACTCCCTCAGTGGGGAACAAACAGAGACCAAATGAAAACCTAACTCCTGAGAGGTTTGTCATAAATCAAGTCAGACAACAAAAAATATTCCTAAAAACCTTCGTTAACCTTATGGGCACCTTCTGAAACCCACATTTAATTTCTCATGACAGATAAGAACATGCCAATGAGCTTAAGTGACACTCCCTGGGAGTGTGTCTGGCAGAGCCAGCCACATGGCACGCTATCAGCTGCCAGGAAAGTGGTACCCAGCGTGGCCCAGGTCTGTTTTCAGAGGCGTGCTGATAACACCATCTCCAGAAATGCTAAAGCTTCAAAC